TTTATTTGTAGAAACTAGTTCCCTCTATAAAATGTCAACTTTTAATTTAAAAAAAAATTTATATTTGATACACTAATAACTTTATATATTATCAGTGAATCACATATATTAATGAACAAATTTAAAAGTTGAGAAGTACTTAAAAATAAATTGAAATCAACTTTTATTATTTATGCTTTTGGACTTTTGATTTTTTAAAATTTGCTCCTTAGTGATATAGCAATATATAATTTAATGACAATATATAAGGTTTATATATTGTCAGTACATCAAATGTAACATTTTAAATGTATGTTGAATGTTTTAAGAAATGAAGAAGTAAAAGGTAGAGTTTTCCTTTTAAAAACGACTAAATATTCAAATCAAGATCAAATGTTTTGATGATTGCTTAATTCAAGATCAAACATTTTAATTCGTACAAAAATGCATTCAATAATCTCCTCATAAATTTTATGACGTAATTACTCAATGCGTTTTTCATAAAAAATATCTTGAATAATCTCGAAAAAAAATTTTAATGAGGTTATTAAAGGCATTTTTGGTCAAAAAAGCCTTTAATGATCGACTTCAATAATCCCCTTATAAATTTTTATGACGAAATTACTCAAGATATTTTTGACCAAAAATATCTTGAATAATCTCAAAAAAAAAAATTAATGGGGTTATTAAAAAATATCTTGAATAATCTCAAAAAAAAAATTAATGGGGTTATTAAAAGTATTTCTGATCAAAAATACCTTCAATAAACCCTTCATAAATTTTTATGACGTGATTACTCAAAGCGTTTTTCGTAAAAAACGTCTCAAATAATCTCAAAAAAAAATTTAATGGAGTTATTAAAAACATTTGTGGCCAAAAACCAAACACCCCCTAAACTATATTTTCACAACTAATAACATAAAGCAACAGAATTCATAAAGCAAAATATTCATTGATATAAAAATAGTTTTAACAAATATTTACAGACCCTTCATAACAATCCTAACCCACTATCAAGTATATAAGTTAAATTTTCAAAAAAAAATTTGGGATTAAAAAAGATTACACAAAATACAAGTATAAAAAAAAACGAGATAAGCCAAATTATTTTTCAGTTACCATCTCTACCATGTCTATCATCAATAATTTTATTGCTTTCTTTCAATTTCAACATAAAAAAATTAACTTCTCTCCTCAACTGCATATTCTTTATGATAACATTAGCTTCACCAGCATTTTTCTTCCACTTTGAAAATATTTCAAACTTTGAACATGACTATATACAAATTTTTCTCTTTTTTTCAGCTCCAAAACAATCTCTTTTGCTCGTTCAAAAATTTTAAGATCATGCCATAAATGAAACCCACAAACAGTGCTATACAATCACACTAAAGAAATATCAGTAAATAAATTCTAGCAAAAACACCTAAGAAATACCAATAAATTTATCAGCTTACAATCACACCAAGAAAATATCAGAAAACAAATACCAATAAAAACACCAAAGAAATACCAATAAAAATACCAAAGAAATACTAATAAATTTATTGGATAATATAGGTATCCATAAAATTTTCTACCAGGATTGTTATTCGTTCATAAAGCCCATCTAGCTACCTTCATATTGCAGTAATAAAAAATGAGTTCTCCTTCAAAGTCTCATTCTACAAGGTAACTAGCTGAAATTAACTAATACATGTTTATATCATAAGACCCTCCTTTAGAAACCCTGAAATTTTAATAGTTTAAAAAATAAATTCATAGTAAATTAGAGTATGAGAAAAACCCAAAATTTATACCAACCTTGAATTTACATTGCTAGATGAATTGATATATGAAAAAGACATTGTATTTAGATGTTATTTCAATAGAAAATTTTTCTCAATTTATGATGAAAACGAGAAGAAACGAGAAAAAAGCCCTAAGCTGAAGCTATCTCACAAATAGAAACGATAAAAAAGAAAGCCAAAAAAATAAAATAAACTTAAAAAACAACCATAATAAGCTAAAGCTGTCATTACACATGAATAAATTAATTTCTTGTCATATTCCACGTCATATTTTGTTGGTCATGGCTTTAACACGTGGATAATTTAATGACACGTAAGATGCACATTCTTTTTAACGTTAAAATAAATTTTACATTGTTACAAATCAATAATATTTGATCTTTATTTGTAAGAATTAAAATGTTTAATCTTGAATTGAACAATCATCCGAACGTTTGATCATAATTTAAGCATTTAGCCTTAGAAAACTCTTTTCCACTTTTTTTTTGTCATATACATGTCCTTTGATATAATAGTCAGGTTGAGATGTTAAGTTACTGATTGATCAAGTTAAAAAGTACTATTAGTAAGGTCAATGAATTATGTGCTTTTTAGGATATTGTGTATAGATCAAATGGTCTCTCACAGACTTGATCACGATGATCAACTAAAAAGGTGAAAATTTCAGAAGTTGCAATAGATTTTGTCAAATCAAGCAACCCTAGAAGGTCATCCCAAATCAAAACCAACCCACATCTTCGAGGACATATGGTAGAAAATTTGACCCTCTTGCCACCATTTCAATTGTAAGACCATCAAAATTTTTTCAATTAAGAAGTTGATTTTTTTTATCAATAAAATTTTAAAAAGATTAGAGTTGCTCAAACAAATATAATTTTTTTAGAATGATTCAGTTACACAGCACATTTGTTTCAATTTTGGTTTGTTTAGAAAAATCCATCAACAATTCAAGCAATGAGGGAGGATATGAAAAAAAGGCAAGTGTTGGTTTAAATATTAAGGACAAAGGTGTTCTAGCGAGAGTAACGTTACCTACCTCAAGAGAATAAATTGATGTTCCATTGTTAAACGATTATCTTATCTATTTATTTATGATTCATTGTTACAAGTTATGTTAATTTAGGAGATTATTTAGTTTTTATCTTTGTTGTTTGTTTTGTTTTTGTATATATTATTTTCTTTTATTGGTGATAAATATCTTTAAAATAAGTAACCTTTATAAAAGCCAACTCTTGATTTAGGAAATGTAAGTTAATTTTATAAATATACAAAAATATCGTGTTTTCCTTCGAAAAACTCGTTTCCACCTTTTGATACACATCACAGTCCTTCAAGGCTTTCACAGCCATCTAGACATATTTGTTGGCTTATAAGATTGGTATCAGCACTTGGCTGTTAGGTGTTATTAAAACAAAAACTTATTAAATTTATTTTTTCTAAAATTTCTTTTAATAAAATAAACGATTATTTTAAAATATTATATTACTTTTAAATTTATTTTTAAAATTTTATTTGTTATAAAAAATATTTTCACTTTTTTCTTTTTATTTTCTTTCTTTTTTATCTATTTTCTTTATTTTTATAATTTAAATTTATAAATAATTTATATGATTGGGAGTTAAACTTAAAAAAAAAAAAAAGGCTTTTCCAAAAAATTAGTTTTTTTTAATATTTAAAAATATAATTTTATCTATTTTTTATTTTTTTCTCTAATTTTCTGTTATTCTCCCTCTTGGAAAGAGGGCAAAATAAAAAAAAAAAAATAGAAAAGAGAGAAGAAAAAAAAAGAAAAGTACTATCTAAATTTAATAAGTCAAAATTTATTAACTACAAATATTTAATTTAAAATAATTTTTATGGTTAAGATTCAATTTTTTTAAAAAAAAGTTAATTTAAAAATTGATTATTTTCAAAACAGTAAATTAATTTTTTAAAAAAGTAAAAATAGTTTTTATTGCAACTATATTTTTTATTAAAAACGAAAAATAAAGAAAGAAAAAGAAAGAAGGAAAGAAAAGGAAGAAAAAACAAAAAAAAGACAAAAAAAAAAGGAGAAAAGGAAAAAAAGAAAAAGAGTGAATAAAGAAAAATAAAGACAAAAAAGAAAAGAACGGAAAATCGTAATCTATACTCGTGTATATATTTATGTGCATCTAGACCTATTTGATTGAGCTTGACCTGAACTATATATTTTATTACCCAGGCCTAATTAAAGTTTAAACGAAATTTTTTTATTATTCAAACCCTCCCAACAAATTTAAATTATATGTTCAAACTTTCTTAAATATTAAGTAAGTTTACAAGCTTGGAAAGGTAGTCTGATCCATGGATAATTTTACAAGGGATAATGTGAAAATTTTAGGAGAGAGAAAGATGGGGAGATAAAAAAACATTGTTATTTCTTACCATATGTATGCTTTTTCATGCATACATATATATATATATAATATATGCTTGGTAAGAAAGATAAAAATTAAATTAAAAATATATTGTTCTTTATATTTGGTAGAGTTAAAGAGATTTTATCATTATATCATTTAAAAATTAAAATACAAAATATAAAGTATAAATATAATGAACAATCTTGTGTATATACAATATTTAATTCGCATCTCTCAATTTTTTTCTCTTCTTCTCTTCCCAATTTGGAATAATTTATTTTTGTGAATAAGTGAAAAAGAATGGTTATCTTTTTTGTTTCCTTTCCTCACTTTTAACTCCTATCAAGCATACTCATAACTCATTTTCTTTTATCCTTTTTCCATCTTTTCCTATCTATTCTTCCACTTTTCCACTTCACCAAGCATCCTAGGCTTTGCCTGTTAGGGTGAATAAAAAAATTGAAAGATGAAAATTTGAAAATGAAAAAAAGTAAAAAGACGAAAAATATATTTTATTTGTCATTGATGTTCTTGATTGAAAAGATGAAAAAAATTAAAATATATATATAATTTTCTTTCCATCCATTACTTGATAAAATAAAAAAGAAAAAAGAAAATTAAAATTATATGATTTTACTATTATAATCTATTTTAAATTAAGATGAAAAATAAAAATCTAAATATGATGAACAATCTTTATAAATATACAACACCTTCTCGAACTTAGCTCATTTCTCTACTCTTATGTTTTCAATTTGAAATAATTTATATTTACAAAAATGTGAATAATGATAAATATTCCTATCGTCTTTCCTCCCATTTTGTTTCCTACAAAACACATTCAAAATTTATTTCCTTTACTTTCTTCCCCCGTTTCATCCTACAAATATTTTACGCTGCATCAAGCACGCAGCGTTAAGCTATTGAAGCTGGCATCGCTAGATGATTTTATGTCTTCTTTCAATTTTACATTGCGACTGAAAATTGCAACATATAAGTGCAAGGCCATACAAGAGATTAAGAAACAAAATGGAAAACTAAGGTCTGTTAGAATAATTAAGCATCGTAGTTCATCAACCCTTCTATTAGAATTAAACTAGATGATTGTACATCAATCACTCATCTCTATCATCAAACCAGCTAACTCATTCCTAAATTGTTCAAACATTCATTATATCCAATAAAAACTGCCAGAACAATTAACCAGATCACAACACAGCAAACAACTTTCTTCGCTCATTAACCAGTGTCAAAGAAGCTATTCAAAGCGTGAGACACATTCCACCTCATTTAGCAATAGGAACTTTGTATTTGCTAACAGCTCTCAAACTTTGGACAAACTGTCCCACGGTTTTAAGACAATATAATGACGCTCATAACACATCAAAAACAGAAATTTTCTCAAATTCCAACCTTCATAAACAATTTATTGCTCACAAGCACCACAATAACAGTAATGAGTCTTTTTCAAATGAAATCACAAACTTTGAAATTTGCAACCAAGTACAATGAAGTGGAGTCAAACCTTAAGAGGTCGAAGAAAGTGGTGCTTCATTCTTGACACTTGCATTTGCAGCAGTATCCACCAATAGGGGCATATAGATTCTAGCTTTCTTGAGAATTTCAGCAACAACCCAGTGCTTACGGTTGCTCAACGGCCTAGAAGGATCCAATTTAACCCAAAAAAAGCACATGATGAAGTATTGGGCATATTACTATGGCCCTCAAGACATACATACATTGAACCAAAAAAAAAACAAGACATACCCTGTCGCCGATGTTGCATTGATCTTTTTCGTCGTGGGCCATGAACTTGGAGGTGCGTTTGACGTAACGCTTGTAAAGTTTGTTATGGAAGAGCCTGTCCACTGCTACTACCACTGATTTCTGCATCTTATTTGATACAACAACAGCCACAACCGATTTCATCTTCTTTCTTTTTTTTTTTTTTTTTTTTTTTTTTGTTTTCTGTTTTCCCTTTGATTGGCTTATAACATGCCAAAAACACTGTCTAGAAAAACAGTCAAATTCCCAAATCAATGTTTTCAAAAAAAAAAAAAAAAAAAAAAAACAGAGGTAAAAAGATCATACGATTTACTCGAGATGGTTGCAGTGCAGGCTCGATGAGAATAAATGGAAGGAAAAGGACATAGGAAAGCGTGGCGAGATAGAGAATATATTGAGGCGTCAGGAAAATGGATGGGAAGAGATAGGGTATCCACTATTTTTGAGGTACCATATCATTAACAAGTTTATATTTTAGACTACAACCTCATAAATACTCTAATAACTTTGACAATACCTGTTTACTAGCCAAACCTGTTTAAATACCGTATTATTGAGTCATAGTCTCTCAAACTAATTTAATGAGGAACCGATTACTAGACCCGAACCCGAACACAAGCAAGAATTTGCAAAAGTGATAATTATAAATATATAAAATCAGATAAAACTTAAAATTATAGTTCAAACACAATAAATAATAAACAAGTTCAAATTTCAAATACTACAACATACAACTTAAATAATAAAAATTCATTATCATCCAACGAAAAAAAAATCATTGTTTGAAAAAATAGTCATAGTCGATATCAACTCATAAAAAATTATTCATGATCTTCCTGTAGAATCTACATTTGAACATGATCCTACGAATAAAAAAAAAAGAAATAATTTAACTTTTTAGATGAGGAACAATAGAATTTGTTTTTTTTTTTTTAAAAGACTACAATAATATAACAATTATATTATTTATTCTTATAATTCTCCACAACGATCTCAACATTTTCACTAGTAAACATTTTTCAGTAAATCTGCAAACAAATTAGATAGAAATATAAAATAATAAGATATAATTAAATCATCCGTAGCAGCAGATATAGCAATGGTAGATTCACAGAAAAGATATAATTCATAGTATACAAATTTAAGAGGAAGTGATTACATTTACTACTGTCAAAGCTCCCTACACAATTCACTTCGACGAATCAATAACTGCACTAATTGATCAATTTCTCATCCCTTAATTCCACCAAGCTAGCTCTGAAAATTTAGTAATACTATCAGATAATCATGCAACTACCTTTTCCGATGAGGGATTGGAGGCGTCGTTGGCTCCAGCGCAGGCGTGTGGAAGCTGCGTGTGGAAGCTGCGTGCGGGCGTTGCGGCTTTGGGGAGGCAGGGCAGGGAGATTGCTGAGGCAGTGAGGCTGTCGGCTGAGTGGTGACGACGGCTGCTGAGAGAAATAGTAAATGAAAAGAGTTAATCGTATTTCTAGTACTTACATTTTGAGTAAAATTTTATTTTGATTTTTAGTTTTTAAAATGTTTTTATTGACTCTTAAAGTGTTCCAAATTATCTTTATTTGATTTTTTATGTAATTGTTTAAATTGATGATAAACATTAATTAATGTTCTTTGGATGATGTCAGTTTACATCCCACGTATTAAACGAACGAGTTAAAATAAAATTTTGTTTGAAGTTAGTTACCAATGAAGTTACTATATCAATTTTTTATATATATATTTTAAATATATTTTTATAAAATCTTAAATTTAAAATAATTTTTTTATTTTTTATTGTAATATAATTTATTAGTTAAATATTTTTGTTTTCATAAAAAATGATTTTCAAAAATGAAAATTAAGTTAAAATTTTTAAAATATTTTTGAAAAAATTTAACATCATTACAAAAACATAAAAAAAACTATTTTGTATTTAAAATATTGTCTTACTAATAAATCATAAAACTGAATATTATTTTCTAACAAAAAATTTATTTCCTCTTAAAAATATTAAATATCCTTCTTTCCTATTTCTAATTTATTTTAATAAAGATGAAAAAATAAAATTAATAAAAATAATTATATAAATATTGATTTTTTATATTTCAAATATATTTTATAAAAAATTTTAATTTAAAATATTTTTTATTTTTATTACAATATTATTTATTAGTAAAATAATATTTTACTAGAAAATAAATTTTTAAAAAATTAAAATTCAATTAAAAATTTTAAATTCCTTTTAAAAAAATTCCATGTCATTTTAAAAAATTAAATAAAAGCTCTTTATCATTTTAAAATAGTTAGTGAAAATATTCGTATTATTTCAAACAATAAATTTATTAATCTATTTTCTATCCAAAACATCTATTTTGAATATATTTTTATTAAAAATTTTACATTTTATGTAAAATAAAAAAATTTATTTTCAATGTAAAATAAAAAAAAAATATTTTCAATAACTCAATTTCTTCCCATCAAAGGATAAAAACCATTTTGATTGTCTTTTTTTATTTTTTATAAAAATAAAATGTTAATAAAGCATATATTCAAAATAATTATAGGAAAAATATTATGAATAGATTAATAAATTGATTTTTTAAAATGATTTGAAAACTTTTACTTAATATTTTAAAAAGTTATGAAGTTTTTTATTTAATTTTTATATCAATATAAAAATTTTACATATTTTTTAAAATGATATGAAATTTTTTCATAAGGATTTTGAAAGTTTTAATTTAATTATAATTTTTGAAAATATATTTTATATGAAAAACAAAAATATTTAATGAATAAACTATATATAAATAAAAAATATAAATATATTAGTTTAAATTTAATATTTTATAAAATATATGTGAAATATAAAAAATTTGAAATAATAGCATTCTTAGTACTAAACTTTGAGTGAAATTTATTTCAATCCCTTTACATGCCACATGAGATGCCAACTGATGCCATTTACATAGTGCCAGCTAGCATTTATTGTCATTTTAGAGGGTTTATAAATGTAAGGATAAAAATAAGATAAATTTAAGTAATTAGGGATCCAATTAAATTTTTTTAAAAATTAGAGACTAAAATAGAATTTGTTTCAAAATTTAGGAATTATGAGTGATATTTAACTAAATGAAAAAGAAATTATTAGGTTTAGGAAATATATAGATTGTTATAGATTATATAATAAGCTGGGTGGGATTTATCTTGGTAAAAAAAACAAATAATAGGGTTTTGATTGCATATTACATTATTAATCTTTGAAATTAATTGTCTAAAATTATTGTTAAAAGGTTAAAATAGTTTTTTAAATATGTTATATCCTAACTAAACCCCAAAAAATTAAATTACATTTCTTAATTGTGATGAGTATATCATATACCTATCATAATAAATAATATAATTTGTTATCATTGTAAATGTTATTTAAAATAAATATATTGTATTTAGTTTCAAACATATAATATGTTATCATGTTATTTAAAATAAATATAATTTCATTATCGTTATCCATATTATTTAGAATAAAAGTGTTGTTTTTAACAAATGTGATTTAATATTACCTTCTCCAAAGACCAATATTGGATATTTCTTATTACTAAGTTGATATTGTCTTTCTAATCCTCATAAAAAAAAAAAAAAAAAAAACCTTAAGTTACAAAATAGTACAATATACATATTGGCACTTGGGTTGGATAGTTGGATTTATTAGAAAAATTATAAAATTTAGAAAATTTTACTAAAATTATAAAGCTAAAGTAAATAATTAAAAATATTATATAAATTTATTAGAAAGATAAAATAAAAATTATTGAATAAGATACACACATCTTTTAAAGAAAAACACAAATAATTTATATTTTTTTATAATAAAAGAAATATGTGCCTCAAAAGTCCAAACATGCATTACATGAGTTTAGATTTTTAGTAGCACTTTTTTTAATTTTTAACGATGTTTATAAATGGCACTAAAAGATTTGCAACGTTTACAAAAAACTAGTTAGAAAGTCAACTATATACGCATCAGGGAAAATAACGGCATTTTCTATAAAATGTCACTATATTGTGACGTTTGTATCTAAAAAATGCTACTATTTTAGCAATATTTATATCTTTGAAATGCTACTAATTTAATAACGTTTTTATCAAAAAAATGTCATTAATATAGTGGCATTTATATGATAAGACGCCGCTAAATTAATAGCATTTGTATAAAAAAAAATCACTAATTTAACGATATTTTTTATAACAATGCCGCTACTTTTAGTGGCATTTTATGGTACAAACGTCATTAAATTATTCATTTAGGGCATTCTTGAACGCAAACGCTGTGAAATTAAAAAATTTAATTTTTTTAATAAAAATTTTTTGTTAATATTTATTATTTTCATTAACAATAAATGTTAGAAGAAATAAAAACGAACTTAAATTCAAAAATTGAAATTAATAAATATTTAATTCACGTTCAAATATGCATCTAATTAATAAAAAGTTTAATTATTAGTATAATAACATTCAAATTTTTTTAATACATTAACAAAAAAAAATTAAAATGTATGAAATTAATGCCTACATAGATTTGAAATACTATCAATTGATGAAGGAATTTTTTACCTTGGTCACAAGCGTACTCAAGAACCTATTGAATAATACCATACAATTTTTAACAATTCATAGTAAGCTTTTTTATATTAAAAAATATAAATATTTACTAAATATAATACCTAAGTTGGTAGACCATCGATATCAGTTCCTAAAAATTATTGTTGCACAAAATTCATAAGATGATCGAATCGATCATGCAACTACTAAAATTTTGCATGCTCTTGCTCCATTCTAACACGTTCTTTCTCAATTTTGGAATGCTGTTGTTCTCTTTTTGCTTCCATTTGCTTGAAACATTGTTGCATAGTTTGCAACTCCTTTCTCAATATCGAAATATCTCACAAACACTAACTTGCTGAAAATGTAAATTACTAAGAGTTATATCCATAATAGGTAGATGGTGTTGGACCCAATCCAAGGCCTCAAACCCGTTTATGCCTTTCTTTTCTAGCAACTTCTATGAATATTTGATTTTTCAATTTTTGCATATTGACAGAATCGTCAGATGTTACTTCAATCTCAATAGCCATTTTTTTTTTTCGTTTTCTCTTGTAAATTAGTTATATACAACTATCAAGTTTAATGATTAATTGATAATATGTTAAAAAGAGTAAATATTTAGTTTTTGTTAAAATAGATGTTACAAATTACCACAATTTCTTGTGTTTCAACATTTATGTAAGATTTATCTTTTTTTTTTTGTATGTTAAGTGACAAAGTTCTACTCGTCCAATTTTACCACCCATTTCTATCTCTTATACAACAACATATGTTATTGTTAAATACATATCAATCGTAACTTATTCATGCATATCAAACCTGTCAATCAAGTTCAAAAATTTTAAATAATTTTAATATCATGTATTTAATCTATTTAAATTATTAAAATATAAATATAACCGTAAATTTATATTTTGGTCTCTTAACAACACAATAGTCTTAAACAAACACAAATAATAAAAGCATTTTGGCCTTTCACACATATCGATCATGAAAACCAAATTCAGTTATTTGGATAAGTTTAATATCATAGATTGAAGTCATACAAACTGTTCAAAACCATCCAAAAGTTTATTTTGTATTTTTGCCTTTTAAAGGCAAAAATAGTTTCAAATAGACATAAGCGACAACGTTTTCACACATATCAACTATAGAAACCAAGTTCAATCAATTGGACAAGTTTAATATCAAGATTGAAGCTATCTAAACTGTTAAAATATAATAATAACAACAAATTTGTATTTTTACCTAAATAGACGTAAACAATAACCTTTTCATACATATCAACTGTGGCAACTAAGTTTAATACTTTCGATAAGTTTAATATCATGTATTGAAACTATCAAAACTATTAAAATAGAATAATAACTGTTAATTTGCATATTTACCTTTTAATGGCATAAAAAGTTCACTCATTGGAATAAGTTTAAAATCATAAACTTACTATTTTTTTTTTGCTTTCTTGCAAAACTTTTTGATCCACTTGTGTGGCTATATTTTTGTTGCTTTCTACTACCAATCCTAATCTGTTCTCTTTCCTATCATAAAAAATAATTGCGTATATGATAGAAATCTAAATATTACCAACTTAAAGCATAAAACACTTTCATTATTTCATATTACTATACAAAGTTATAAATTAGTATCTCTTCTTTTCTTGAGAATTAAAATCTAACTAATTGTTCATATTACCACCTAATCACATTACGGTGTAGATTTTCCATTGTCACCTCTACAGTAATATTTTGATCAAAATACTTATTCTTCAAATTATGCTTATGGCCTTTCCATTTTTTTTTCAATGACTTAAGCACAAATGAAGTTAGTATTTCAAGTATAAATCTTGACTGTAATAATTCAATAAGAAAAGTTTGAATAAGTAAATAAAATGTATAATAATTATATTTTTATACGTAATTAA